CAACAAATGCTCGCCATCACCACTCCGCGATCTCCATCATGGCAGCCCCAGACCGGCAACTGAAGAGCATTCTGAAAAAGCCGTCTGCACCTGCACCCGACGTCGATGACAATGTCGACGACGTGGAGGACGATGGCCGTGGCGCCGTGACGCGACCCGCCACACACAGCCGTCGTGTGCGGTCCGAGCAGGAGAACGCTGAGATTGCGAAGAAGCACGCGGACATCCTTCAGCAGCGCCGTGAGCTCGAGTCGGCCATCTTTCTATCCATCGAGACGCTCACCGAATTGCCACGCGTGAAGGGCGCGGGATTCTCAGCTGCCACACCGGCGGACGAAGATGTCGAAAAATTCACAAGCCTCGTGCGCATCTTCCAGCCGTCCGACTACGACGACCTCATCGAGGAGCGCAACACATATGGTCACTGCGGCTATGTGCTGTGCCCCAAGCCGCGGCAGACATTTGCAGGCAACGGGACCTGGAAACTGGTCAACACAGGGCGCAAGGATTTTGGCATTGTCGCCAAGAAAGAAATCGAAAAGTGGTGCTCGTCACAGTGCGCACGACGGGCATTGTACATCAAGGTGCAGCTCAACGAGACGGCAGCGTGGGAGCGAGCAGGCATCCCGGACATTCGCATCGAGTTAATGGACGAGGGTACGCCAAAGGGCAAGAAGGCTGCAGAAGTTGGGACCGCAGAGGCGGCAGTGGCCAACGAGGCCCAGCTGGCGCAAGACCTGGCCCGGCTCAAACTTGGAGAGGAGCGCCGGCTGGCACAAAATGCAAATGCACTGGCCATGGAGCGTGGCGATGCGGGACACGCCGGTGTTGCCGCTGCGCTGACTGACCTGGACGACAATAATAATGACCAGCCGCCACGGATCGTGCCTCCAATGCCGACGGCTCTCGTTGACGTCAACATTGTAGAGAAGAAGGTGATTACGGCGCCGACAGCGCCAACGCTGGAAACGGGAGACGCTCCCGACAGCACGGGCGGTGATACTTCGCACATGGTCGTCGAAGGTCACAAGATCAGATTCCGCGATGATTAGGCGGAACGGGGCATGCACACAACAGGAGAATGTGCCGACTGATTTATATACGGAGTTTGGGTTGAATCATACAAGGACCAAATAGATAGATACCCGCATTATACTGTCGAAAGACAGTCCAAAATCAAATGTTATCATACTCATATCTGCTTCTGACTTTAAAACGTGCGCGTTCTATTCGACCTTGATATTACGAGTGTCTCTGGTCAAAGATTGGCTGTAACGATTACGTTGTCTACAGGGACAACTACAATTATACAGCGACAAATAAACGAGTCACGACTATACGTGGTCAAACACAGTCTGGCAGCACAACGACAGCACAAGCATCTAGGAGAGGGAAATGAGAATTGGCGATCAAGCAAGACAAAAGCCTATCTGGAGCAAAGTGCCAGTATGACTTTCCGCGACACCTTGGGGGTTGTGCAACATGTTTCTTATTTTTTTTGTGTGTGTGTTTTGACGGCCAGGCGTCTGGCTTCGTCAAAGCGGTCCGTACTTTCCATCTGCGCTTCCAGTTCATAACAGATCCCGGTATTCCCGATACTTGCGTGCTTTTGGCGCTTGCTTCCCCTCCTGACTCTCACCGGCGGCGTCCCAAAGAAACGGTTTTGCTGCACACATGTCGACGAAAGAAAGAGGACAGGGAGCGCTGAGGGTCAAGTAGAGGAGGGGGCAGATGTCGGAGTCGGGCCATTTCATAAATATAAAAGAGACAGAAAAAAATCCGAGGACGCCAGATTTTTGAAATTTTTGGTATTGTAAATTTATATTTTGTCGTCGTGTGATCTTCGGCACCACCACGCTACCGCCCACCGCTTAGTCGCGGCGAGGGGGGCGATCACCGAAGCGGCGGCCACCGCGCTCGGCGGTCTGCACCTGGGTGACGGGGATGACGTTGACGGGGATGGCATCGAACTGTGGTTGTTAGACGGTGAACCAAAGCATACAGTCCTATTGAGATATGGGTGTGAACTTACGCCGAGGTGCTTCAGCAGGTCCTTGGTCTCGGTGTCGACGTCCAGCTGGCCGCTCTCGGAGTTCTGGGCAAAGTCGAGAGCCGAGACCTCGGGGACGTACTGGTCCTTGCGCTCGCGCTCCTCCTCCTGCAGCTTGAAGGAGATACCGCGGACAGGGCCACGCTGAATGCGCTTCATCAGATGCGTCGTGTAGCCGGCGATCTTGTTGCGCAGGCGCTTCGAGGCAATGATGGCAATCTCATCGCAGACGCGCTTGTTGGTCTCGAAGTCCAGAGTCAGCTTGGGGTAGTACCGCTCAATGATGACCTTGGCGGACTTCTTGACGGTCTTGGTGCGAACGCGACCCATGTTGGCGGTTTGTGTGTGGTGAGAAGAGGGGGAGGTGGTTGTCGGTGGCGGTGGTGGTTGAGAGAAAGAAGTCGAGGTTGAAGGTGGGAAGAGCCAAAACGAGCAGCCAAAAGCAGATGCAGACAGTTGGAACAATTTTTTGGGCGGGCTCCACGCAGTTTACTGAGCCCTTAGTGTCGAAAATTTCTGGTGGGGGAGGGAAAAAGGATGTTAGGGTACGGAAGTGGGTCTGCACGTGATTCTAAAAGTGGGTTAAAGCACGAGTCAATGTTGATGCCAAAATCTGCACCTGTCTCTGCACGTGACTATATTCGAGGTTGCGTTGTATGGAGCAGGAGCTTAATGCCGCGTCTTGTTTTCATTTGGATGGAACCTTACACACAGGGATTGGAATGAATTTTGAATTGAATAAAAACGCTCTACTTCTTCGTATCATTTGGTAGTAGTACATGAGAGACGTAGGTTTCCATCCTCTTACCCCCCATAGGATATATACACACAGACATGCCTCCTCTCGCTTCTCCTAGCTCAGACCGTAGCTCTCGGCGCTGCTGATCGCAGAGTCGGCATTTTTCAGGCCCATCGGGCGAACGGGGCGGCCCAGGATAAAGCGGCCGGACACAGACCGTGGCTGGGAGTCGGCACGTGTAGACTCCAGACGCGAGGGCTGGCCATAGATGATCTCCTTGCCCTCGAGCTCGTCCCGGACAAGCGTCGCCTCGGGGTCTGCCTCGGCAAGCTGGACCATGATACGGCCCTGGGAGTTGACCTTGGCGGCAGCCACATGCACGGGGATCTTGAAGCCGCCGTAGACGGACGGGTCGATGACGCTCAGGCCGGGGATGGCGCGGTTGCTGCTATAGGTGGGGTTGTGGCGGGTGTTGGAGTAGGCGGCCTCGCTGAAGGGACTGTTGGTCACGATACCAGCAACACCCAGCTTGGCGGTCCGGTTGCTAGAGGCGGTGCGCGGCTGGATAACGCGAGACTGCACCGGCGGGTGGAACTTTTGCGGGCCGTAGACTGGGTGGTTGTCGAGGAAGGCGGCGGTGCGCAGGTAGGTCAGGCCCGCCGAGGGGTGCGACATGGGAGGGCCGTCCCGAGCCCAAGGGTTGCCCGCGGGACCGTTCGTGGGTGAGGGCGTGGACGACGACGCGCTGCTGGCCAGGTCGCCGAGACCGGTCAGTGGCGAGAGGAAGCCGCCGCTCAAGCTCGCTGTGGAGCGAGCCAGGTTCTGGTAAATCTTGTCCGTGGGCTCGACTGGTGCCAGGTCCAAGAATTTGCCCACCAGGCGGTATAGCAGTGGGCGGTCGTGGCGCAGCACGCGCAGGTATTCGGTCAGCTGCTCGTCGGTGATGTCGGCGGCGGTGAGAGTCTGGGCCGCATCAGCGCCGCCACGGTCCATGGCGTCGGCAGCGGCTGTGGCGTTCTTGTCGGCAGCCAGCTGGGTGCGCAGAAACTCGCGGAACTCGGGGCGGCGCGTGCGGACCTTCTTCTTGAGGTAGGCCTGGAAATCACCTTCGGTGATGCCGGCCAACCACGGGCCCTCAAACTTCCAGCGCTTGTCCTCGGGGGTGTGGCGCTTGGACGGGTCGATGGCGATGACGTCGGCGTCCTCGTCGAAAACAGACTTGCCGGCAATGTGCTGTCTCTGCTCAGCGTCTGTTTGGGAGGTCAGAGGCATGTTGAGACTCTGCCATTTGCGGAGCGTGGTGGTGTGGTCGTGGGCGTGGGCATAGTCGGTGATGCCCTCGATAGTGTCGTGCTCGTAGACGCGAATTGAACGAAACTTTATGGCCAAGTCCGGCATGCGCCGCTTCAGGCCCCAATCACCCCGTTTGCGCGACGATCGGGGACTCTGGATGGCCGGTAAGGTTGGGAACGGCTTGGTGGCTCTGTCAGAGTTCTGGGTTTGGACATCGGAGACATCGCTTGGTGCTTGTGGAACCGGCTTGACTGGTAAGGAGAAAAGGCGAGAGGTGCGCAGCAGCGCAGCGCCTGGCGACAATGTTTTTGAAGCCATTGCAGCAGGGTATGTGGGAGTCGGAGAGAAGATCTGCCGTCGTCTGTGCAGGGACGAGGACGGTGTAGTCAGTGCAAGGCAGCCAAGCCTGTTCGACGACGTGAAGCTTTTTGGAGGCAGCTACAAAAAATGGCGAGACGAAAAACACACCTGAAGCATAAAGTGGGCCAACAGGGAATTGAGTGTATTTCATTGGTGTGCAGGTTCCGTCCAATCAGAGATTGGGTAAATGGGTCCACTTCAACAGTCCATGATACAAAATAAAGATGGTAGAGATGAGAGGCATGTCCGCAAATACATGGTCGCAATGGTGGACAGTTTGCAACATGCTCTGAAATGTGGTTCGGGATGTCCAGATTAACAACAAAACAAGACCAAAATGGACCGTATGCACGCTTGATTTCTGCTAGGAAAGAATGCTCTGTCAACCCGTGTACGCCGTCTTCCCAATGGACTTTATTTTCAGCATGGTTTCTCTTTCTTTCCCCCTTGAATCGGTTCCCACTCATTATTCTCCTCTCTTTTTGGTATACATATTCACACGCCTACATTATTTCGCTTCAACTTCGACAATGCTAGAGACACGATTTCCTACCCTCCTCACGCACATATGGCTGGACGGTGCTTATGCCGGCGTCGGTGTCGCTGCTGGCGATGGTAGGCAATGGCTTTGGGGATGAGACAAGGAAGATGTGGCAGTGTGCGACCGGGGCTGCAGCTGTCGTCTTTTGGAAGCGGGGATGTACTGCTGTTACTGCTGTTGTCGATGCCAATGCTGTGGTCCGACACGGCGGCCACGGCCTCGATTTCACGCGAAAACGACTCGATGACGTTGTTGATGACCTCCATGATCGCCGAGGTATCGCCCTGGGGGTCGACCAGCACGACGTCACCTTTTGAGGGTGTTGATACTGATGAGGGAGACGGCGCTGGTAAACATGAAGAAGAGGAGGAGGAAGAAGAAGATGACGAGGAACTGCTTTCGATCGACTCGTAAGAACGGCGACGCAGGGTCTTCCGGTCATGCAATCGCCCAACTGGGGATTGTGAAGGCGGCGAGCCTACAACCAGCATTGCCTCTTGCACATGCGGGAAGCTGAGCAGGAGCATCAGCTTGTTATACGGCTCCCAGGGCCGGATGGTATCGGTGCGCACATGATCAATGGCCAGCGCCCGCACGTGCTCGGCGGTGTCACGGACGTGGAGAGTGAAATCACGGGCGGTGTCGTCGTAGCCCATGAGGCCATGTCGTGGCAGGTAGAGGACGTCAAAGGTGGGCGAGAAATAGATGTAGTGGTCCCGGGGGTGGGAGCTCGTGCGAAAGGCACGGCGATACCAGTCCTGGTGCAGGGCCTCGGCACGGGCCTCGCGGTTGACGTGCAGCAAAGCGGGCGGGCGTGCTGTGGTGTGACAGCAGTCGGCGTCGGCATCATACCAGACCTCGACGACACGGGGTTGGCGACTGAGGCGCCAGATGCTGACACGGAGCTCAGCCGGCAAGTCGGAGAATCTCTTGAAGGAGTGCATGGCTAATGTGGTAGAAGATGCCATTCAGTGAGGTGGTAGATGCATTATGTGGTCGCGAAACCGGAGAGGAAGAGTAATCCGACAGAGGGCGAAGTGAAAATTACAGCATAAAAGTTTGGAGACTGGGAATGGGTATTTTATGGTGCTTGCGTCCGTACTTGGAGAGCATTCGGCGTCGTTGGTGGTGGTCAAGACCGAGGTGGTGATGTAATGAACGGAGTCAGATCAGCTGCAAAGGTGAGTAGACGGTGTACGAGGAGAAAAGAATATAAGGATACGTAACGAAAGAGAAATCCAAAAAAGAAAGAAACGGTAAGAAAACGGTCAATTGTTTAAAGTATTGACAAAATACGTCCGTAACGAGGCAAGACGAAAGGAAATGAAAGAACAAAGTAGAAATAACATAGCTAAAAAAAAGTGCAAAGCAAATGACGTCTGGTTCGCCGAGGCGAATTGCTTTGTTGGTCCTGGCGCCTAGCCTCCATCCACCCCAACCTACGACGGACGCCAATAAATAATAGCATTAAGTGACTTGACTTATTCGACTTGGCCAGACCACGACTAAAACAAAACTGCAGCCAAGAGCCCGACGAGCTGGGCATCGGGGAGTCCTCCGGTCGGTTCCGCACAGCGGAGGCAGACTCTACGTCTGGTACCATACGAATTATGGATGATGGTGCTGCCAGACACGGGTTCTTGAAGTCTACGAAATGCATCCGGGATGAGAACGCTGCAGTGACTATGAAGCGCAAAATAACGAGACTGAAGTCGGTGGGGAAAGAAGAAAAGGAGTGATCTAGGTCACGGCCAAGACCTTGCGGCACGTAGAGTGCAGATAAAGTGCACGTCCGCAAGCGGGTGATGGTGTAATATAGGGTAGGGTGAATGGGGATTAAGTACGAAGAGGGGTGCAGGTGGAGGGTGGTCAGTAAATAGATATAAGAATGAGAAGGAAATAAAAGATATGGATGGCATTGGGGATGGGAAGGCATGAACAAGAGTATTACATGGGGCTATGCGAACGGAGTATCAGCCACCTATGTAAGTGGTTTATAGGGGTTGAGAGAGGAAAGAAATCGGCATAAATAAGAAAGAAAGAGAGAAAAGAAGAAGAAAAAAAGACAAGGAAATCGAAAAATCGAGCATAAAAGGACAGACTCAAAGACTCAGTACGCAGCGCAGTTAGTCTCATCATTCATCCCATCCAAATGGATATACCTGGATGAGAAACGACAAGAGGAAAGCATAGCGAAAGACCTGTTGAGGCCGCAAAGGTTGCATTCCGGTCATACCTTTACCTCATTTTTCTTTATTTCGTTTTTCATTTTCTTCCCCGGTTCACGGTTCCTTTACCCCTTTCCCACTCTTTGCTCACAACCATAGTTGCCTCTTTTGGAAAGCTGCCTTGGGATCAGTGCAACCCTGGACCAAAATCGTATGACTTTTTGGGTGCCAACGGGGACCAGGGTGCAAAAGGTTGAAAAAAAGAAGAAAAGAGGATGTGTCATAATAGCCGACCACAGCTTTCCAGCCGCGATGGATTTTAAACGACCGCCTGAACAGGCCTTTTGAGCTTTATTTTGCGACCGCCGTAGCGCGCTGAAAAAAAGTGGAAAATCAGGTGCTTTTTGCTAGACCCATTTCGTGCAGGATGTTGCCCTCACTTGTTCTGGAAGGATTTTGGGGGGAGCGTTACAGCTGACAGGTACTGAAAAGCCTCTAAGGCTTAGAAGTTTTCGGGGTCGACAGCGGCCACAGGCTCAGGCCGGCGCTAGCCTTGTTCTGCGGGGTTGTCCCGATGTCCTGGTGGCAGAGAGTAGCAAAAAAAAGAAAAAAAAAAAAAAAAAAAGGTAAAGAAAATCACCAACAGGCAAGCAGCGGCCACTACAGAAGCAAGCCGACAGGGCTCCGTACTACGCCGCCAACCGAGAACTGCCTCGAATCTGCCCTCGTCCACTCCATCCGCCCCTCACGGCCATGCTGGCGGCCCTCAGGATGGCGTCCACCCCGTCAGCCAAGGCTGCAGCCGTCTCTGCCGTCTCTGCCGCCTCTACAGCCTCTGCAGCCTCATCAACCATCTCGTCGACTCTCCCGGCTCTGCCTGCCTCGGCCACCCACGGCGCGCTCACCTTTGAGCTGCTGGCCCGCTGCTCGACCACGCGGGCCCGTGCCTCCATCCTCACGCTGCCTCATGGCCCCGTCCAACTGCCCGTCTTCATGCCCGTCGCCACGCAGGCTTCGCTCAAGGGCCTGACGCCCGCCCAGCTCGCCGACACGTCCTGCCGCCTCTGCCTGAACAACACCTACCACCTGGGCCTCAAGCCGGGCCAGGCGGTCCTGGATGCCGTCGGCGGCGCGCACGCATTCCAGGGCTGGCAGCACAACCTGCTGACCGACAGCGGAGGCTTCCAGATGGTGTCCCTGCTGCAGCTGGCCACCATTACGGAAGAGGGAGTGCGCTTCCTGTCGCCGCACGACGGCCAGCCGATGCTGCTGACGCCCGAGTACTCGATTGCCCTCCAGAACAGCATCGGCTCCGACATTGCCATGCAGCTGGACGACGTGCTGGTGACCACGTCGCCCGACGCCGAGCGCATGCAGGCCGCCATGGAGCGCAGCGTGCGCTGGCTGGACCGCTGCATCGCGGCGCACCGCATCCCCGAGCGCCAAAACCTCTTCTGCATCATCCAGGGCGGCCTCGACGTGGCCATGCGCCGCACCTGCACGCGCGCCATGCTGGCACGCGACACGCCCGGCATTGCCATTGGCGGCCTGTCGGGCGGCGAGGCCAAGGCGGACTACTGCCGCGTGGTGGCGGCCGTGACGGAGCTGCTGCCGCCGCTCAAGCCGCGCTACGTCATGGGCATCGGCTACCCCGAGGACTTGGTGGTCAGCGTGGCGCTCGGCGCGGACATGTTCGACTGCGTCTGGCCGACACGGACGGCGCGGTTCGGCAATGCCATCACGCGGCACGGCGTGCTGAACATCAAGCACCAGCGCTATGCCACAGACTTTGGCCCTATCGAGGACGGCTGTGGGTGTCCGTGCTGTCGGCCGGCCACCGCCGAGGGCGCGGCGAACAGAGATGGAAGCGGGGGCAGTGTGCCCGAGAATGGGGCCACCAATGGCGAACAGGCCAGCCGGCCCCGTCCGGCCATTACGCGCGCGTTTGTGCACCACAACGCATCCAAGGAGACGGTGGCCGCGCACCTGCTGACGATGCACAATGTGTGGTACCAGCTGGCGCTGATGGCCAGTCTGCGCGAGGCCATTCTCCAAGACCGCTTCCCCGCGCGCGTGCGGGAGTTCTTTGCCGATCTGTACCCCAACGGACCGGGCGACTACCCAGACTGGGCCGTGGACACGTTGGCGGGCGTGAACTTGAATCTGCGAGACTAAATCGGGGAAAGAGTCAAAAGACAAAATGTGCGGAATGTGGCTGCATTTGCACCAAAAATACCACGGCATGGCTTGGCGTTTGGGTAGACCTTTGCGAAAACATGGACATGAATCACGTCGTATGTCAAAAATAGAGTTAATTGTTTCAATTATGGTATCGCTCGGTTGTTCGACATTAGATCACTCCCTTTCGCCCTTCACCCCTGCACTTTACAATGGCCTACAAGACAAACGGCAACACAACGGCCAGCCAGGCCGCCAGACCGCTGCCCGCTTGCACCGCCTGCACCGGCCCGGCAGCCGCGTTCTTGGCCGCCGTCGGCGTCGGCGTCACCGTCACAGTATGCTGCGCCTTGGTCGTGGTGGGCGACGAGTTGCTGTTGGGGTTGGGCGTGGAACTGGACGCCGAGCCGCTCGAACCGCCGGCACCGCCAAACGTGGCCGCGTCACCACCCGTGGCGCTGGCGCCGCTGTTGCTGCTGCTGCCGCCCTGGAACAGCTCGCAAAACGACTCGACGGCAACGTAGGACTCGTACTCCGCCGGGTCGGCCGTCTTGGCCCAGTCGCCGCACTCGCTAATGTAGTCGTCGAGGGCCGTCGTGAACTTGCCGTTGATGTAGCACAGGCAGCTGGCGGCCTGGGCGTCGTCCATGGTCTGGAAGCCGCGGATCTTGGAGTCGCAGGACTCGAACAGGGACGCAAAGGACGTGCAGGCCGGCGGCTGGGCCGTCGCGCTGCCGCCAAAGGTCTGGACGACGCCCGAAAACGAGCTCGTGGACGACGGGAAGGTGTTGCCGCTGCCGGTCCGGGTAGCGGTGCTGGGGTGCGTCGTCGTCGCGGCCACGCCCCCGCAGCGGAAGCCCTCTTTGCTCACGGCCAAGCACAGTGACTGGGCGATGCTAGCGACTTGAGGTTGTTAGCGACGTCGATGAAGGAGAGAAAGAGAGAAAAAGACAGAGAGAGCCAGCGTACCTGAATAGTCCTCCGTGTAGCCGGGCGCCGAGGACAAAATGTAGTCCTCACAGCTGCTGTAGACCGGCGCCAGGAACGTCGCGTAGTTGCAGCAGTAGCATGAGGCGCTGTCGGTCACGGCGGCATTGCCCGGCAGGTTGGACGCGCAGTACGAGACGACGTCGCCGACCGTCCCGCAAGCCTGGTAGTTGGGGTCGATGGCGGCGAACGCATGGCCACCCGCCAGGAGGTTGGCCGGGATGGCAAATTCGTACGCAGCAGCCAGGGAGGCTGCGCCGGCAAGGAGGACGAGGCGAGACATGTTGAGCTGGCGACACTGTGGGAAGGTGCGTTCTTGCAGACGTTGGTGGAAGGAAGGCACGATCGGTACGAGGCCACAACACAAACCTGGAAGGAGCACGCTGGACGACTATCGCGAGAACAGGGAAAACAAGCAAAAATACGAAATACAGAGATCAACGACACTGGGTGTCTGCTTCGTTTTAAAGAAGGCTGCTTCCAATCAGCTCCCCCCCTACCACATCCCCATCCAGAAATCAATAAAACCACGCATCCACCTTGCCCAACCGCCGCATGGCTAGGCCAGGCCGGCGGTGTTAGCGACGTAAGAGAGGAAAGGACCATGGAACCGAGCCTTGCTTTTGGCCTATCTTTGGCAGCTGTTACTGCGGAGCGATCGGCCATGTTTCGTTTCCGTCCAACCTAAAATCGGAAAGCTTCTTCAGGTCCTGCAGCCAGGCTAGCCCGACTCGGGCCAGCCCCAGGGTCGATGGTGGAGAAGCGTGGCAGCAAAGGGTGTGTCCAGTGGAGGGTTGACAGTTGGCGCCGGCGACGGCTCGAGGCGGTCCTTTTGTTTCTCTGTTTTTGTTTGCCTGCCCCCTCATTGTTTTCTGTTTTTCTTCCGGCCCCTGCCTGCAATCTTACGATCCTTGTCCGTGCTGACAATTTTTTCTAGTCTCCTTATTCGTGAGATTCACTTGGGTTTTGTTTCTTCCTTGATGAGAATGGTTCGGCAAGCGGAATATTGAATTTTTCTCCGTAAAAGAGGTAAGAAGCACCTGCTCTCCATTATTCTCGCGACTCGTCGATGAAGCTCGAACAGAAGCTATTTGCAATCATCATGTGCCCAAGAAGAAGATGGAAGGAAATGTTCATGATCTGTAAAAGCAGCTTGTCGTCAACCTTTCGCTTTTGTCAAAAGCCAAGCGACGATCTCCGAGTCTCGATCCAACTGGCTCTCAGACCCAGAGACTTTTGAGGCTCTCGTGGTCTTGGCTGCGTCAAGCCGGCTGGGCAAGACGGATCAGGCGCGGCCAAGGATTAAACGCGACTCAGGATCTCGGCCTGAGCTATTCTAACTACCTTGGGAGCAACCACTGGTGATCGAGAGAAGACGCCTGGTCTGTCGTTTGTAGTCCAATATTTCAGCCGCCGCCACCACCATGTGACTCAGGCCCTTTTCATCGACAAACCAATCTATTGCTTTGCCCTTGCCCGAAGCCCTTGCATTGAACAATCTGTGGTTTCTTTTGTGTCTTTCCTTTTATTTCTAACTTTGTATCTTGTTAATCGATCCACCTCACAATTGTTGCTGACACTTGAATCTGTACGAAATATTCTTGTCAGAATACATGTCGAACAGAGCCTGCCTCTAGCACGATGCATGAGTTTGCTGCCACACTCCTCCAGCCGAAGCTACCGCTAATGCAGTGGCTTTTCTTCACACTCCACTCTGCACGACAATACTTACTTCGCCACTGCTCATGTTCCGATCGACTCATCTACTCCATTTTCGAGCTAGGTTGAGCAGATGTACGACATACTCCGTATTATTGACGATAATTATTCGAGTTTCCCGGGTATTGGCTTGCTTGCTGCCGTCTTTTAAACTTCTGTCGTTCAATATACTGCATAATTCGTACATCGGTCGTCTTGTAGGAACTTTTTGAGGCTCAAGCACTTCGCACAGCAGCAAACGGCGTACTCAGTAAAGCTGGGACCAAAAAAGCACGTATGTACGTGCCGCAACTAAGTTCGTCCTCAACTTGGAACTCACAGCGTCACATTGGCTCCCAGCAGTACGTCGTAGGATGCAGTGTTGCACAACACTCGTTAGGCTGTCTTGACGCAGGTCGATATGGCCAAGGCTTTTTTATCAAAAGTTGCAAAGTTCTTCCTCCATTGGGCTTGTAAACCCTCCGAGTCCTCCTACCTTTCTTCGAGCATTGCCTCAGTTCATCCACCTCTCTCGTGGTACGCAAGGCCTTCCCGTGGAATGCCATTTATGCTTTTTGGCGCATATTTCGCGTCCTTTTGTCTATTATTGTTCATGTCGCCCCTCACAGATCGCCCCCGGAATGCAAAAGCCCCTCCTCGTGCTTCACATTCCACAATCACTTTCTCTTCAATATCGAGCATCATGCATGACTCGCCAGGTGTTGCTCTTGCCCTCTGTTCTCAGTTCGGTGGGGTGCCAACAACAGCTGTTCCTTCCTTTGTACGGGCAGTGTACAGCGGTTGTATACGCAAACAGTCCCTGAAGGCCAATACTGCCACGTGACAATACAGCGCCAGCGCCAAGAAGGCTGTAGACGCGTCGATCTAGGGAAGGCGCGTGTGTGGGTGGCCAGGTCGCTCTTGACGTAGTTGTTTTCTTCCCTTTCGGGGTGCGTCACCCCTTTTCGCAAACTAATTTTTATTATTTTTATTTGGTTGATGTCCGTCAGGCGAGCCGTCTTCTGTTTGGTGCCCGCGCTCATTTTGTTTTCGCCACAACAAACAACGCCAAACGGTCGAGCAAACAACTGGTCCGGTATTATCTGACGTCGTTCTGTCTGTCGGCTGCACACTAAAGCCATCGCGCATGGACAACGGTCGAATGCCCCCTTTCCACTGCATCGTGACGTCGACATCCACTTGGCTGCAGAGGCAGTTTATATCCACACGCAACGACCGATAGTACGCGACACGCGGCGTACCACGACGGTTACCCACCATGTCCTCGGTCCAGGCGACGCCGCAGCGCCGGCAGTCGACTACATTCGGTGGCGCAGCCGGCACAAATGCCACCGGCAACAACATCACCAACAATCCCCCGAATAGCCTCAATACGAACAACCACGCCAACGACGCCAACAACGCCAACGAGCCTCTCTCTCAATCCCTTCGACAGCTGTCCCTCTCCACCGGCACACCTGTAAAGTCCAAGTCGCCGTCGCCCTTGTCGCGCGCCACCTCCTCTACCAATGGTCCACCTTCCGGCAGCCCGCGCTCTCCGAGTGTCGCTGGCAACCGCCGCCACAGCACCACGCCGCGCAGTCCGCTGCCCAACGGCCGTGATTCGCGCGCCGGCACGCCTGGCCTGCTGCGAAAGGCCTCCTTGAACTCGCTCCACAGTGGCAGCAACATCAACGGCAGCAGTCCCGGCAAGAGCCTCGCGCGGCGCACGAGCGCCTCCAACCTCAAATCCCCCTCGCCCGGAACGCCGCTTCGGTCGCCCTTGCTCAGCAGTGGCCACGGCTTCGAGACGCTCCGCGAAGAGCAGCAGCGCCAGCGACCACCCCGCCCACCGCCGCCCACCGCTGCCGACATCGCCCGCAGCCACTTCCAGGCCGAACTGGCCCGCCACCGCAGCCCCGACGATGATCTGCACCACAGCTCGCACACCGTCGTCATCCTGCACGATGCTTGCTACGGCCACCGCTTTGCACGCCCGCGCACCTCCCGCGCCAACCTCAGCACCATTGTCGAGCGCCCCGAGCGCATTCAGGCCTGTGCCGTCGGCGTGTCCGCGGCCTACGTGCGTCTCGGCGGCCGCCATGCCGACGCCGACTACATGCCTCACCCCCGGCTCGACCCCTCCTCGATTCCCGCATCGGCCGTGCCCTTCCGCATCCACAAGACCACCCGTGCTCTGCCCCTGCAGTCGCCCGCCGTCACCAATGTCCATGGCACCAAGTGGATGGAGGAGCTCAAGATCATGTGCGATGCCGCCGAGGCCAAACTCGCCCTCAACGGCAAAGAACTGCAGCGCCCAGACATGGATCGGGGCCCGCCGCACCACCACGCCGCACCCGCCCGCTTACACGAGGGTGACCTGTATCTGTGTTCTGAGTCGCTGCAGGCTTTGGAGGGCGCCTTGGGCGGTGTGTGCGAGGCTGTCGACACGGTATTTGATCCAGCCTCGCAGAACCGCCGCGCTTTCGTCGCCATCCGTCCGCCGGGCCACCATTGCTCGGCCGACTGGCCCTCGGGCTTCTGCTGGATCAACAATGTCCACGTCGGCATCATGCACGCCATCCTTTCTCACGGCCTGACCCACGCTGCCATTGTGGATATCGACCTGCACCACGGCGACGGTTCCCAGGCCATTGCTTGGCAGCACAACGCCCGCAGTGCCTCGGCCACCAAGAACGCGGCCGCATGGAAAAAGACGTCCATTGGCTACTTCAGTCTGCACGACATCAACTCGTTCCCCTGTGAATCGGGCGATGACGACAAGGTGCGGAACGCCAGTCTGTGCATTGAAAATGCCCATGGTCAGACGGTCTGGAACATCCACCTCGAGCCCTGGAAGTCCGAGGCCGCCTTCTGGGCACTCTACGCCGACAAGTACACCGCCCTGCTCCACAAACTGCGTGCCTTTTTCCGCAACCAAGCCGTGCAGCGTGGCGAAGGCAGTAGCGATCGAAGTGCCATCTTCATTTCGGCCGGCTTCGACGCCAGCGAATGGGAGACGTCCAGCATGCAGCGCCACAAGGTTAACGTACCCACCGAGTTTTACGCCCGTTTCACCCGTGACGTTGTCCAGATTGCCAACGACGAGTGTGCTGGCCGCGTCGTCAGTGTCCTGGAGGGCGGCTACAGCGACCGCGCACTCTTCTCCGGTGTCCTAGGCCACATGAGCGGTCTGGCCGGCTCGGATCCCATCACCACGCGCGACGAGGCCTTCCAGTCTGGCCTGGGATACGAGATGGGCAGCCGTCTTGGAGCTCTGTCCATCAACGGGAATGAAAAGGAGGCGGATGTCCGACTATCTGGTGCACCATACGACCCTACATGGTGGGCCTCTGCTGAGCTCGACCTGATCGAAGCCGCCATTGCGCCGCCACCACCGCCGCCAGAACCCAAGCCCGACCGGCCAACGCACCCGGCCACCACCTACTCGTCACCCACCGCCTCGTCCCAGGCCAAGGTCGTCGTCCACACCCCTAAGCTGCGGCGCAGCATGTCCGGCCTGTCCTCTTCCTACGGCGCTGGCGGTGGTCTGGCCTCTTCGCCCTCGTCACGCCCGCCCTCACC